CTGGTTTTGTCACTCTTCCACAAAGAGGCATGTGTGGGTGGGGTAGAGGAAGTTTTCAAAAAAAAAAAGTAAAAGAAAAAGCACAGGTGCCTTAGCAGCCATTCCATCCATTTTAATCAAAGCTTTAATGTGAAAGAGCATCCAATCACTGTAGATGCTGTGCTTTTTCAACAGACATCACTTTTTCAACATGCTTTTCCTGGCTACAAAGTCACTACAAGGTTTTTGTGCAAAACTGGCTGTTTTTGTGCACAAACCTGAGGAGCATCCATGCCTCAAATGTGTTTGTGCCAGAAAATCTACAGTCAATTGACAGAACAGAGGACTTTTTGCAGTGTAGGTATGCTTCCTTCGGAGGCATAACTCAGCTCTTGCACAAAAAGGCATGTGTGGACATTCCACAGGGGTTTCTTGCACTAAAAAGAGCCTATCCGAAGAAGCACAGGTGCTCTGACGGCCATTCTATTAATTGCCATTGGAGCTTTCTTGTACAAGAGCATCCATGCAGTGTGTACACTCTTGTGCAAAAGCACTTTGCACTTTGAGGTCTGGATGTGCTTTTGCACAAGACGTTTTTGTGCAAGAACTCTTCCACTGAAGTCTTGAGAAAAATTTTTGTACTGTAGCCATAGCCCTGGTGTTGACACTTTTGAAAGAATTTTTCTTCTTTTGAAAGAGCTCTACTGAAAAGGCTTGTTTCTATAGAAGCCTGCTGTCTAGATATACACTCTAGAGAAGGGTGATAGAATTACTGAAACACCCCTCGCCTCATCTGCATTGAAGATAGGACAGAAAGACCTCTCTATAAGCATACAGAATGGAGAGCATATCCAAAGCATAAGCCACTCTGAACCATGCAATACTGAAAGAAGGAAAGCATTTCCTTTTGTGATATCTGCTCCAGATGATAATGCATTCACATCCACACACACTCATCAGTTATCAGACCCATTGTTGTAAGAGATGTTCTATTTATATCCAAAATAGAGCAAGATAATGCAGCTTCACTCTCAAAGCATACCACCAACGATTGGTTTCTATTGCCTAGCATAAATAAAACTGTACAATACTCCCTGAATCATCTGTTTATCTATAAAAATATATTCAGTGTAACGTTTAGCATTGTTATGTTCTGGGTCCTTGATATAAAGTGTACATCAGGTCCATTTGGACTTCATCTGTTCCAGACTCATGCTGCTGTGAGCTGGGCCCTGCTCTGCCTGTCCTCCATAATTCTGGACTCCAAGCTACCATCTGTATTAGTTTAAGCTTCATGGGGTTGTATGCACTTTCCTCTCTTATTCCCATTCCCACCTCCACCCCCTCTATGCATAGCCTCCTGACCCTGCCTTATGTGGTCATTTATATAGTTACAGTGTTAACAAGAACAGTTTCAAATGTAAATTTATTCTGCTTGCAATTATAGCGTAATGTCTGATTATTTCGCTTCCCTTGTTTCTCTGTCTCCTACCCCCCAGGAATGCTTTGGCTTCCCCCTGTGGCACATAGAAATCTGGTGCAGTTTGTTCACCTACTGGATTAACATCTGAATGATTGTTATGAATGTGGGGATTGGGAGGTGTCGAATTTTGGCCTCCATGAGGGTGGCAGCTCAATGTGCTGTTTAACCCAGGCCACTGAGTCCAAGGGCATGTAATGGGTACAGCTTGGCATTGCTGTATAATCCAGCCTACTGATTCCAGGGACATACAAGAAGTTAGTTGGTGATTGCTGGTGAACTGGTCCTCTCAGCTGCGCTCTGCTACTTAATGTCAGTCTCTGTATTTGTCTGACTCTAGGCTCAGATGAAAAAAGTTCTGGGAAACATTGTTCCTACAGAAAAGCTCCATTGATAGGGAGTTGGCAGCAGGGAACATTCACCTCCTTATGAGCGCGAGCAATAACACAAGCAGCACACTGCGGCTATGTCTAGTTTTTTTATCCTGGAAAAAACTGTTCCACATCCAGGGAACATGGTTGCTTTTCCGCTTTTTTTTTTTCCTAGGAAGAAACACACTCTTTTGGAAGCCCCTGTATTTCTCGTGCCACGAGGAATACAGGGACTTCCAAAAGAGGGGTTTTGTCCAACGTGTGGCCCAGAGTAGATGGGCCAAATGTCAGAAAAGACTTTCAACCAAAGAATCCACAAAAAATTATGCAAATTGCAGAGGGCATTTCGAATACTTTTTTTGAAAAAAGGCAGCAGTGTAGACCTAGGCTGACAGAATTAATAACCTCCCCCTTTCACTCAGAAGTGAACATATCAAGACTCAATTGGATTGAACTGGGGGCGGGGAGGGGGAAGGGGAAGGAAGAAGCAGCAGGCTACACGTCCTCCAAGAATGAGCTGTAAGAGTGGTTCAATCTGTTTCTCTCCTATACATTCCTGTTCTAATGACAGGACTAAATCAGACTCCATGAGGGGTCTTTTGATTATCTGCTCACCTCCACTGTGGGTCAAGAGCTGAAATCACTGAGAATCTGAGCTCAGAGCTACATCATGCCCACTGGCCAGCACTGCTGTAATCTTTTCCAATGCCTACATTTAGGGTTAACATTATTTGTGACCGCACACAGCCAAATTAGTTACAGTAGGCAAAATCCCATTCTAACAATTGACCATTCGTCATGCATATAGCACTGGCTAAAATTGAATGACATAACCACACCCAGGATTACTTCTTTATTTCAGCATGATGTAAAATGCTAGTCTACTATTTGATAAGGATTTGCTTATCAGACAGTATGTTGACTAGTCAAGTCAATTACCCCACCTCGTTGATGCCTCTATAAAATGGCACTGCCACTTTGAAACCCACAGTGGCTACTTCTACACTGTGCTGATCTTGTGGAAGAGGAAATGCAAATGAAGCACAAGAAGTTTCTAATGAACACTTCATTTGCATGTCCTCTTCTGCAAGATCAGCACAGTGTAGATGTAGCCCATAACAGCTTTTCTAAGGGGCAGACATTGCACAGCTGATCCCCAATAAACTGTGTGGTGGCTGTCACTTTAAAATGCCACCTGTGTGCCTTTCAAATGAGGAAGCTGTGGAGCCGGAGATCAGCTGGGGATTTCCCAGCTGATCCCAGGCTCCTGGCATCAGCTAGTGAGTCCCCCAGCTGACCCTGGCCTCCATGACAGCTGCCCCTTTGAATTGCCATGCCACCTGGGACTCTTGTGCATTTCAAAGCAGGCACCCACATGCAGCCTGGCGTCGTCGGTGGGACTTCCTGCTGGCCCCAGGCTGTACACACAGAGCCACATTCCTCCTTTGAAATGTACAAGAACGCCTGTACATTCCAAGGGAGACAGAAGTGCACATCAATTAGTCAATGGAAATTCCATCAACTAGTCAACCACTGTGACAAGGTCAGTCCTGCTCCTGGGCCCCAGACCCATATGCCATCCACAATCTCCTGTCTAGGTACCACAGCTCGGCTGTGTCAAGACAGGCAAGTTTTTCCCGCAAAAAACAGCTGCTTTTGTGGAAGAATTGGCCAGCTGTCTACACTGGCCACTTGAATTTCCTCAAGAACACGGACACTCTCATGTAAGAAATCAGTGCTTCTTGCAGAAATACTATGCTGCTCCCATTCAGGCAAAAGTCCTTTTGCACAAAAGGGCCAGTGTAGAGAGCTCAGATTTGTTTTGCGCAAAAAAGCCCTGATCACGAAAATGGCAATTGGGGATTTTTTTTGCAGAAAAACACATCTAGATTGGCACAGATGCTTTTCTGCAAAAAGTGCTTTTGCAGAAAAGCATCCGTGCCAATCTAGACACTCTTTTCCGCAAATGCTTTTAACAGAAAGCTTTTCCATTAGAAGTATTTGCAGAAAATCATGCCAATCTAGACGTAGCCCACAGGTTTTGCCTACCCCCTTCTTTAGTAAAATAGCTGTCAGCTTCAGCTGGGTTACCAGTCCTCCCCAGTTACCTCCTGGCTTCTCTGACTACTGGGGAAGGGAGACCAAACACTCCCTGGCAGAGCGCCTACCTTGCCTCTCCCTTGGTAAAAGCTACCATTCTTTTTAGCCACCTCTTCTATTCCTTGTTTGTTTGTTTGTTTGTCTGTCAGTCAGTCCTCCACCTCCCACCCAGGGAAGGCTTTTAAAGAGGTCCTCTGGCAGCCTTAATCAGCTCACCTGGCCCTTATTTGATTTACAGCCACCCTATATCAGCTGCCCCTAATTAACTAGGGCAGTTACTGTTTTTAAAGCTGCCTTCCCGTCCCCCCTTTTAGAAAGAGTCCTATAACCTGTCCTATCACATCACATTTTAAGCTCCTTAATTTACACATTAAGAGTAGAATTCCTTGCAGGGCTATACAACTGAGACCATGTCTGGACTGCAGGCTTTTTACACAAAACTCTTTTTAAAGAAGAGCTCTTCCTAAACAATTCTTATGCAAGAGAGTATCCACACTGCAAAAGTGCATAGAAAAAACAATCTTTTTCTAAAGATAGCAAAATTGGGTCTAGTCATGATGGTGTCCAGGTCTCCGACACAGACAGTCCTATGCAACCGCTCCGAATTGATGGCTGTCACCATCTGCAGAAAGGGACAATTAGAAACACACAACAGGAAATTAGAGGGCATGCCAGAGCTGTTGAGAGGTGCTCCCCCACCCCTCCCCTCCAAGACTCCAGGAGCCTCTCCTCAGGTGGACCCCCTCCCACCCCTCGGCACCAGGGCAGGGTAAGGCCAGGGTAAGGCCACTCCCTCTGCCCTTTCCTGCCCCCCCTTGGACTGTCCCGAGAGTGACTTACCTCCATCAAGATGGCCCCAACACTAAACCTCCCCATGCCATCTGGTGTCCCACAGAACGGTAGCTCTCGGAGGTCGCCAGCTTCCATAGGGCAATAGCGACCTGCTTCTCCAGGGGGGTGGCGGGCTGCAAGTGGATGTCCTGGCGTTTTAGGGCAGGGGAAAGCCAGACACACAGGTTGCGTCTGGTAAGATTATAAAAGATGGGGTGTGTTGCATGGTTCTTGGAGTCATGCCAAGGTGGGAGCATTACTGTGGAGAAGCTCAGATCCTCCCTTGAATTTGATGTTGCTTTATGTGAGCAACAGACTGGTAACTATAACATCAACAGGACTGTGTGTGTGCATGCATGTATGTGAATATAGTATATGCATATGACAGAATGTTACATTATCAATAAATATGGTGTTCTGCCTTATTCCCCTGAAAAAGATCCATGGGCTTCTTTCAAGTTAGCATGATGACATTGAGGCACTGCAAGATCTTGAAGTGCCTTCTGAATCATCAAAGATGAACTTAGGTTCAGCATAGTTTGTGTTGTGTATTTTTAGGAGTCTGGGTGTATGCCATGTGCTGGCCATAGTGATATGTAGAGTCATAAGGTAACTGATTGTATAGGAAACTTTACCTATGTACACCTAAGTGCTTCAAAAATCAACCACTCTGCAGTGCCCTACTAGTGGATTTGTGAGTACCTGTTACTATTGCATACTTTATTTGGGTGGGTTTTTTAATGAATTCTAAATCTTTGCACGCTGATGTCCCAGTGGGAAAGTAGAAGTTACCAGAATATTCAAGGAACGTAACTGATTGTATAGGAAACTTTACCTATGTACACCTAAGTGCTTCAAAAATCAACCACTCTGCAGTGCCCTACTAGTGGATTTGTGAGTACCTGTTACTATTGCATACTTTATTTGGGTGGGTTTTTTAATGAATTCTAAATCTTTGCACGCTGATGTCCCAGTGGGAAAGTAGAAGTTACCAGAATATTCAAGGAACCGGCATCCCACCATATGGGGTGTGTCAGGGGGGGGGGGGGGGGGATTTTTCACGCAAAGAGCGC